GGGTTGGGTTAGTCTCAGGGGGGGTTGTAGGTTCCGAGGGGGAAAAGAGAGAAAGAGGAATGAGAGAGGAGAGAGGGTGTGTGTGTGTGTGTGTGTGTCTCGGGGGAAGGCAGGGCCGGCTTCCACCAGGGGCGGCTGCCATCGCACGTGCGCGCGGCCGCTGCGGCGTTGCGTGGCGAGCCGGCCCTGCGGAAGCGGCCGCGCGTGGGTCGCAATTTGACGGGCGTCTCGGCCCTGGCGGAGCCTGCCAGTGTTGAAGATGCGGCGCCACATGTTTGACCCTGCGCGGCGCCCCGCTTTCGGCCCGCAGCTACAACCTGGAGAAGATTGCGGATGAGGAGCGCGACGCGGCGCTGGGCAACGGCGGCCTGGGGCGCCTGGTGAGAGGGCTGCGGGCTCCCGGGGGGTGGGGTGGGGGGGGGTTCGCGGTGCCACGGCAGGGCCGGAGGGGGGGAGCCAGGTGCACGGGGTGCCAACCTGGGTGGCAGCAGGCCCCCACAGCGGAATGGGGAAGAGGGAAGGAAGGGGGAGGTGCAGGCGGCGAGGGCATGTCAGGCGCACAGCCAGTCGCGACGGCGGCGGCGCAAAGCGGCGGGTGGCCAGCGGGGCGGCGGGCCGGGCCAGCTGCCCGGCCGGCGGGGCCTGAAATGGGCCGCGTTCCCGGCGCCACGCGCGGTCCCTCGCGCCCCGCCCGGCCCCGTTCCCCCCTCCCCGCTCACGACCGGGCCTTGCCCCTGATCTCCAACCCTGTTCAACTCCACCTCTCCTTGCGTCGCCCCAGGCCGCGTGCTTCCTGGACAGCATGGCGACCCTCAACCTGCCGGCTTGGGGCTACGGCATCCGCTACACATACGGAATGTTCCGGCAGGTGGGGTGGGGCTGGCCCTGGGGTGGGGCGGGTGATTTGTGGGTCAGGCAGTTGTTTTGGGTGGGTGGCCGGTGGGGTGTCCAGGGACAGAGGGGGCCGGACGGCGTTGGTTTTCGATGTGATTTTTCGCGTCAACAGATGATGTGAGGATGAGGTGAGCGTCTTTGTCGGCGCTGCAGACGTGGCCGCCGCCGGAAGGTTCGATTGGATCAGTGTTGGCCTCAGACCCTTGCGGCCGCGGCGGCGGCTGCGGCTGCGGGCGGCTGTCCCTGAGCGTCCGGCGGGCGGCGGGCCTCGGCCCTGCGCGCGCGCCCGAGCCGCCGCCTCGCCGCGACGGATAAAACGCATGCAATCGTGTTACCCCCCCCCCCTCCCAGGCCCCTCCTTAATGCAAGCCTCAAAAGCACCCCACATCACCTTTCTGCTAGCATCCCCGCCCCCTCCCACACCACATCCTGCTCCGCTCCTGCCTCGGCCCACGCTCCTTCACACACACACACACACACACGCACACACACACACACACACCACCCCCAGACCCTGATCAACGGCTTCCAGCACGAGCAGCCCGACTACTGGCTCACCTTTGGCAACCCCTGGGAGATCGAGCGCCTCGTGGTCAAGTACCCTGTCCAGGTCAGCCTCCTGCATTGTTTTTGGGGGTGGGGCAGGGGGGGCCACGGTGCTTTCAGACTGCTAGGGTCAACGTTTAGTGCTGTCTCCCGGGGTCCGTGCTAGTGTTGATGTACATTGCTGGCACGTCAGGCGCAGGGGCTTGAGATTCAGTGCACGGCACACCAGCCACCTCGACGCCGCGCGACGCGGGCCAGTCTCTGTTGAGCCTTGGGTGCCGCCTGCTGACGTGTACGTGCGTGGGACCCCCTTGCACCCTTCCCCCACAAACCAATCAATCCCTGTGCAGTTCTATGGCCACGTGAGCACCCACCAGGAGGAGGGCCGCCAGGTCTTCAGGTGGAACGCGGGGGAGCAGGTGCGAGGGGGGGGGGCCGCAGGCGAGACGGGGAGGGGGAGGGGAGAGGGCGGGGCGGAAGGGTGGGGGCGACAGGGTGGGGCGAGGGAAGGGTGACCGGTGGCGAAGAGGTGGATATGGAGGGGCGGG